TCTCTTCGAGAGCCTTCACGTACTAATAATGCGGGAGCTATACAAGTCTCCCTGAATTACACACTCCAGATGTAACTGGTTATCACTGGTTATCGCACACGCGGCTGTAGCTCGTAACTTGCGAACTGAGAAGTCGTTGATAACGCACTCGGTGACTGTCACAGTGCAACTGACTGTGGATAGCCTTCGCTGCTCCTTATGCAGCCTCGATCGGACAATACGGCCACGTAATAGGCACCCTTGTTGCCTGGCGCTGTGTTGCTAGCAACGCAAGCGGTAGTAACCGCTGTTACTACCGTAACAATCCGGTTGCGTCACCGTTACGTTACCGTGCGGAGGAGGGGGAGGGGAGCGCTGACTCACCCGCCGCGTCACTGCTGGTGGGGGGGGGGGTTCTCATTTGCGCAACATGTCACAATATTATTCTATATATGGTATATATATGCATATTAAATTTACTTATGCTTCTCGTACGTGATAACATAACAAGTACTCTTACTTGTATGTGGATTTCAAGGTTACAAAGATAAGAGTAGTATTTTCATTTATCTCCACGAGAGCCTGTGACGTTTTTTCTTACGTTTTTGCTTGGTTATTCACTACCAGTTAATCAGAGATTTAACTGAAACAGAATCCTGCAGAAAACGTTAATTTATGTTTAACAAAAGCACATCACACAGAGTGATTAGTTGAAGTATTGTAACATTGTGTAATATTTGAGGTTTTCACGGCGGTGACTATGAAGAAAGCCGTCTCCTGGGATGTGGCGCCGTGTTGATACTGTGTTAACCGACATTTCGGAGGAACATTTTTAAATATTGTGGCACATAGGCCCATTGCTAAGCAACATACGCGCATGCAGGAGCAGTTTTTCTGTAGTGTGCGCACGGACTGTTTCTATGCCACGCGCAGCTTACGATTGGGCGTTGACGTCACACAACAATAGAAGTAATGCAGGTAGGTGTTTTCTGCAGGTGAGCGCTGAGGCTGTGTTTTCTGTGATGCGAGGTCCGTGCCGCGACTACATAAGGGAGACAGTTTAAATGATAGAGAGGGTTATGAGAATGGGAATACAAGGGCGTAAAACGAAGTACAACGGGGTACAACGGAATAAAAATTAGTTGTCGGTAGGAGATAGTCACGGAAATTTAGTAACTGAAGAAGAATTAGAAGTCAGCCTGTGAAGACTTGGTGTATGATTAGAAGATTTAACAACAGTGAGATGTTTTAATTCCGTTGCTCGGATTCGACTAGTGAAGATTGAGAATCGTAGTGCAGTGAACTTTAAATTGTATAAATCAGCGATAGCGCTGCATTTCTTAAAGTACCTGTACCAATCCAAAGTCCATCTACAGTCAATAGAACACGTGACACTGTGAATTCTCACGACATTGGCTAAAGCGTATTACTACCTTGTGAGATATGACGCCTTGTTGCATGGTAGAGGGGAGATGACATTCCTCAAAAACGCTGGTAAACCTCTATGACATTAAATGTCGTCACGTTACATCAAGTAGTAAATACTTTTACATTTAAACTGATGATGAAATATCAGTCGCGACAGGTCTCATACAGTGATTAATTAAAGTATTGTAACATTATTCTTAAATATTGCGAAGCGTAGGCCATTGCTAGGCAACGCCCGCAACACACGCACTGTTAACAATACTCACATTTGGTGAGCGGTAAGGTGAGTTTCTGGAGCTGTACGTGTATGCTGGGGCGCATGGGTTTGTGATGATATTGTTAACTGTTCACATGAAATTAATATTTGCCTTACCACACCTTACTTCCATCCGTTAACAAGGCATTAAATAACCATTGTATAGCGTACGATTTGATCTGCGGTGTTATATATTGGTACCTTTCTGTACGACAGGCGGCCTCCTGGTTTCAGTTCTCTGTTGGCTGCGATCCCAGTGCGCCTGGATCCCAAACTCAACAATTTCTTTTTGGACCGACGCTGGATCCAGAACAAGTAATAATTAATCTCTCACTCCGTTACAACATATATATCATATATATTCACGCCCTATTATCGCTGTCACACGCGCGAACGCTTAAGAGCACTGTCATCTCTGTTCCAGCGACCCGACAACACAAAATCTTACTGCCGTTCGTTAAGGCGGAAGCCAGCTAATTCCCACAAACAACTTTCTGTCCGTTACGGCCAACAATACCAAGTGTGGACAGCGATAAATTTAATTTGTGTGCGACGTAGTCTCTTAATTTACCCCTCCCCTTAATCCGTCCGAACGCTGTAACATTGCAGACTTACGCAAGAACTGAAGCTTTCATAGCGGCTGAAGTCAATGGAATTTTCTCAGGCTATTAGCAGTGTCAGTTGATTAAAATTCAGGGTTTAATGAATGGCCCTGAATCTGCTGTAATTTTCAATCTACTGACAGGCATGATAACCTGAGAATATTTCATTGACTGCAGATAAGTATTCGAGATTTAACTGTTCGAATCTAGAACAGACTCTTTGTTATCCTGGCTTAAATTTATCGACATCTATGTAAATGACCGAATAGTAACTTTAAACATGTGTCCTATAATATCCTAACCTACTCACTGTTCACAGCCAATCCTTTCGACTCTACGTAATATCTGTAACTGATAATGAGTCGTTAAATCACTTCAAACAACCTCAAAATCCCCCGGTTTAGTGAAACTGGCGTTTACATGAACCTCATGTCTCAGGCTATAACCGTATCATTACACTCCACCGGCGAGGAGAGAGTGACAGGGGGAGAGGTTTTCTTTTCCCCTTGGTGCTACAGCCCCAGTGGGCCTAGGTCTACCTCCATGAACTTCTCCGTTCACTTCGGTTTTTCTAGAACTTACACATTCGGTAGGTAATCAGCTCGTCACAGGGCCTCTACCTGTACACAGACACAAAGTAAACATCCATGCCCTGAGTGGGATTCGAACCCACGATCCCGGTTTCCAAGCGAGCGAAGACAATAGATGCCTTAGACCGCTCGGCTACCGTAACCGGTAGGAGGAGAGGTTACAAACCACAATAAAACCCGTCCAACGTTCCAGGTGTTAGCAAGGCGCACATACAAACAAATATATATACATACATGAATTCATACAACGCATACATATATAAAGATATATGGCATTTCAAAAACTTGCTTTTTCATATTCAGGGTTGCTGAAAACGTGTAAATCCACCAAAATTTCATGAATGATTTTCTGTATGAACACAATATTTTCTTATGCTACGTACGTGAGAAACCAACAGAAATAGACGTAGACGAATAACATTCATTTCATCTATGAGTCTATCTCATAATAATTCAATTGGCTTATATTTTAGTGTGCTAGAAGGGTCATTCTAGAGAATACTAGAAAGCACTGCGATATATATGTTATTTCTAGAGATCATAATGATTTACTGATCAGTAAGTATTTACTTTTGGATTTATGGAGAGTTCAACTGCGTTGTGTAGTGAATTATAATTTGAAGAGTTTGAAGAAAAGAGGTCCATAAAATATTTTAAATTCTGTCTGAATATCTCCTTAAAAACATAAAGAGTGATTTTAGATAATTATAATGAAACGCAACGGTTCAAAACGGACCTAACTCATTCAGCTGAAGGAATCGGGTAAATTTTATTATCTTTATTTTTCTATCTCTTGGAAATCCTTTTCATTTCATGATGCCATCCATAACCTGAAACACTGCATCCTTAACATTTGGCACTATGCAATGTAAAACATCGCTATTCTAATAATGCGAGCAAGGCTACTGATTTAAATAAGTTACTACTTTTAAGTCGTGCAAGTCGCGATGCGTGAAACAGAATTAAAAACCGAATGTATCATAAGAGATATACATGTATTGTTTCATGACGTGAAAGGCTAAAATATGAAGTATGAAAAAATAGGTGTGTCTCAGGAACTCACAAATATATAAACGTTACAATTCATGAACCCCGTGATATCGATGGATCCTGTATTGCTATTTTAGTTTAATCTGTCCTCAGAACAGTCTGTGTGCCCCGTTCAATTGTCTCTCCACTGTTCATTTCGATCGACATTCACCCCTTCCCCCATTTTGTCCTCGGTAACTTTCACTTGGTATTTTTGGCATTATTTCTGTTATGCTCATATTAAAGGGATTTACGCTGGACAATAGAAGCTAAAGGATAAAGTTAAAGTTTTCCGTGTGCTTTAGCGCAGTTCTATGGAAACATATAAGATCTTGTGAGAAAGTTCCATGTAGGTCTGTTCCTGATCCCGGCACTGGTCAACGTCTAGGCTCGACCGACTTACCCGGCCGGACAGGATAGGAGATTTGATATGGGTGTGGCAACTGGTGGTGAACGAACCCCTGTAGTGTAGCCTGCAGTCAGTCACTTAACTCACTGAGCTACCCAGTTCACTACCAGTCTCATCACCCGTATTTAAATGTTATGATTCTTTGACAATGCAAACAAATGAGTAAAGCTTAGGAAATTAAGACAGTCCGTGCTATTCTCAGTCATTAAGCTACAACATTCCTACAGACATTCTGCAACTATGAACTCTGAAGGCGTGGAAGCACGTGTTTCTTACTTTTTGCAACTGAAGGTGTTTGTGCAGAACCATATGTTCTCAGGAAGTTCCTGTGGAATTCGTCACGTCTTAAGGGAAATTTATTAAGTGCTATGGGCCAGTACTATGACTAATTCGGATAAGATGGGAAGAGAAAGAGGCCAGTATACACCCACACATAAACATACTGTTCGTCATTTCCCTCAACTCTAATACATTTAAACTTTCAAGTATTCCTGCGAAAGTGTCGTTTCCTGCGGGCTACTGATATGTAAATTGCGTACCGTCTTACCGCTTCGGGGACGAGACATCCAACTAATTTTCCTAGTAGAAACTTGTCTCTCTAAAAGTAAACGTTACAGGCTAACTTGAACTAACCATTTATTCACGTCTGAGTGAAATAAGTAGCCTCACCCTTTGGAAAAAGAATCCTTCTCTGCTTTCGGGTCGAAATAGTAGTTTCATATCCAGTTGTCGCTTTGTGACTATTCCGGTAAATTATTCAGGAGGCTGCTAGTGCTCTTTATGCCACTTGGCGTGAAATACGCGTTGAAACCGGTGAAGATATCTTTACGAGGCATCTGCAAAAATCAGTATACTCAAGTTATAAAATATTACAATGTGAAGACCTCTAGATCTCTGTCAAACAGATGAAATATGTTGGGTGTAAAACAAATATAACAAGATTTTATATTATAAATTAAGTTATATTTTCACATACAAATTACCAAGAATACTACTATCTTACGTGAAACACATACACACACCTCGAAGCTCGGAGCATTTTATTCAGTGGTCGGTACAAGAAATATAATTTTAATGCGTAAGAAGTGAATAGGTTACGATATTTTAAAGTCTCTTCTGGAGCTCGAATATTTTCTTTGGAATGTGTTCTAGATTTTCAAATTAAGATTTCTCTACATTTTAGATCCAATTTTGGATCATCAGATGACTAAATATTAAGTTACATTCTTTTACAATAAACTTCGCTGATTATTATGTTTTACAATTAATTTACTTCGTAGTAATCCTACCCAATAATCTTGTTCAAAAGAAGCGAGTACATAAAAATTTAGATATCTTTGCAATTTTATTTGCTAGTGAATATATTTAACTCACAGCGCATATAAGAAGGTGGTAATATTTGGCATTAACACAGGGTAGACTATATTGTTACACTTGCACATGAATGGGAAGTTTGAGTCTCAAAGGATTATTTCTTCTTTTATGTGACTTACTACAAAAATTCACCCTCCAGTCAGTCATGATATTATCATCTCTGTTTTTATTAAGAACTATTCTTTCATTCCGTACTTCTCCAATTGCCTTCCTTTTGATATTATTTAATCACCATGGAACCTCGAAACGCAACTAAAACTCTACACCAATTCTCTCAACTGAACTGTTAGTCGAGCTGAGTCGAGTCGAGTCGAGTCGAGTCGAGTCTTATGTTCCGACGGACGGTCAGTCGGTCAGACTATCTTCGAATAAAGCACCAATCGGGGGCTTACGACCAGACTTTTATTACTGTCAGACAGTTGCGCTCTCTCTGACGAGAGTACGGGTCTGTCGTTTACAATTGCTGCTGTTCCTCGCCAGCGTAGTCATTTTCGGGTACGAGTCCAGTGGGGCTTGTGACCATGTTTTACTGTCTCAGATTTGAGACTTCCCTTTTTTTCGCCTCGTACGGCTCACAGGGCTAGGGTGGAAGTATTCGACCACACCTCTACACGGGATTTAACTGCCAAATATCCTGGAACTTCCTTATATAGCCGTGGCACGGACCACACAGAAGATACATCTTCTGTTGTCAGAATAGTTGCGTAACCTAGAAACTAGTCACAGAGAACAGAACTCCTACTTTTGCGTGGTTGCTGGAACGTGTATACCGAGTCGATGTCTAGCAATAAATCACGTATGATTGTCACGCGCTTAAGCGAGGTGTTTATCGCGCCTTTGCCTAGCGATTACGAATTGTAGGCGAGAAGATGAACTCACACGACGAAAGGTTGTAATTCTCTGATACTGTAAACCTTTGGCTGAACAGCAATGAACAGAGATAGAGAGAAATATGAATAATCGATTAAAGTGGCCTACAGGAATTACATTTCCGATGTAGTAAAAACACAACACCGTGGACATTGGCACGATTAACTTCAAACGCTCCTTCGCTTTGCGGAATATCATGCAACATGGTTACAATGTCTCGAATCCGCATAAATGCAGAGGTTTTAAAAGCCTCTCAGATAATTTGAGCCGATGGTGGACATAAGATGGGCCTTCTTCAGCCTCCACCACTGAACCACTGGGTCACAATGCGAGCGGTGTTTTCTTTTGTTCTGTGTTACTAATTTCCTGCTCTGCCACTATGACGAAGGACTAGGGTACAAAGCTTTCTGCTCACGCTGATATTGCATCGGCGTTGGTTTAAATCCGGTTATTAACAGTAAAAGATAACACGATATTCGAAGTAATACAAGAATTAAACAACAGGTAGCGACAAAAACACATTATAAGAATTATTTCATTGATTGAATCCTGTTGTGTGTCTCAGACAATATATAATATGTAGGAACTCTGCTACCGTCAACACAACAAATATTTCAGTATTACATTTAGACCTTTTAATTTACTGCGACATGTTTCGGTCAGACATTGCCATAATCAGGGAGGAATACATATAGTTATTGAAATACCGATACGGATCTTTATCGGTGCGACGCGTAGTATTTAAAAATTAACATAAAAAATATAAAAAAACTTTGCCTCAGATTTGTGTATAGTTAAATTATCAAATCCATGATTAAGAATAAAGAAATAATAAGAATAATAAAAGGCAGAATAAAGGTGCTATATATAAAATGTTGAAATATTATTAAAATATATTAAAGGTATGTTAGACTTATATAGAAGGTATTAACACCTATATGTAAGGTTAGGGAACTGTATTCCAACTAAAATTTATTTTAAGGGGGGGAGATCCTGCTACAATGTAGAATTGGACGTCTATGTTGCGTAGGTATTGTTGCAGAAATTCTACGTAATAAGCCCGGTAAATGAGGCCCAAAGACAAGTTTTCACTGATGTACAAGTTTTGATTGTGTGTGGGTATTTAGTATGGTATTCCCACGCTATGTATCCTATATAAACCTGCAATGTGGCTTATGTTTCTTGTCTAGCCGTATAAACGTTCGGTGTGTATATGGTGTGTTCTACACTGTGCGGTGGTTTGGCGTAGATCTACGTAGAACCCAAAGTTCAACAACGTCAGCATCAAAAACCACCATTAAAGGCGATTCTAATACAACTCAGTCCAGTTTACAACTCACAGATTTTTTTCTCTGATACCAATTTTAATATTACCCAATTTTCTCCGTTTTGTTAATGTTTACCTCCCAATATGTTTTCCCACAAAAAGATTATGTTTATTCTATCAGATCTTCAGATCCATCCCTGTTTGTATAAGATTTTACCCAGGGCTAACAATGAGCAAACAGTTTTCGAAGGATACCTATTACATGAACTGCCATTATGCAGACCTATTACGCGACATTTTGTGGAGTGACTGGTTATAGCTACAGGATTTTGCAAAAACAACTGATTATGCTTACGTTTTAAAATCGTGCAACTATCACTTACTGTGCATGGATCATTTCGGGGGCAAAATAACAACGCTTTCTGTGAAGCAGCCAAAGCATCTGCACTGCTAATTAAAGCAAAGGGTTCAACAGTTACTTCCTAACAAAGCAACTTGGGTACAGTGACCTGCAACTGTTTCGCCCCGTTCTACATATGCAATCTTCCGTGGACCTTAACAATTATCGCATTTCGATTTCAGATCATGACAGCTACATATAGTTTTATAGGGTGACTAAGAGCGGTCCTTTTTTCATCAGATTTAAGAAACACAGTGGACTATCCCCCTAGACGGCTGTACGCCCACAAACTAGTCCACAATGGAGTAATCACAAAACGTGAAGGGGAGGTTACGGGAAGTAAATCATGATTGGTCTATGAGAAAATGATAGTGACTTTACTTTACGTCTCTACAAGTAGAGGAAACCACGATATATCCTCAAAAATAATAAGAGGTCAAGGGTGAACATATTCATTGTGTTCAATATTATAAGAAATAGAGAATCCCAAAAGTTAGAGAAAACCAAACACGCCAATTTAAATCTACGCGAATGTCTCCTATAATAGGAAATGAATTACAAATTCCAACACCGGGGACGTGGATGAGGTGATAAGATTAGTGCAAATTGGGGTCCTACGATGTTAGAAGGGGTTCAAAT